GGTCATCTGAACGTGCGATCTCTCATGTCTGACTTTGCTGCAATTATTGACCTGATTCAGACTGAGCGGTTCGGTATTTTCGCTGTAAGTAAAACATGGTTGAGCCAAGACATCACCAATGATGCGGTGAGTATCAATAATTACAATCTGTTCCGTAGTGACAGAGGATAACGCGGTGGCGGTGGCAGGTCGAAATTATTAACTTTGACAATAGCTTTGGAAACTTCTTGGAACAACTGTGGGTCAGCATAAAAATAAACAGATACCTCTTGCTTTTGGGTGTGTTGTATAGACCACCTTCACAAAACCTCAATGATTGCATCAGCGCTCTAGATCTCATGTTACCGTTAATGTCAAACAATTTTGATAACGTTGTTATTATAGGAGATCTGAATGTTGATATTTTGAGCGGCAACAACGTCCTTTCTCCATGCTTTCAAATGGTGGGTTTTTCTGAAATTGTCAGTGATCCTACAATAGTGACAAGTAACACAGCATCCTTATTAGATCCAGTTTTTTACTAATGTATTAAACGGAGAAATTAAAGGATAAGGTGTTCTTAGTAATTATGACTACCAACAAAAACGAAATACGAAAAGCTGTATATGTGGAAATGTAATTTATCATCATTATTGATCATGAAAATGCATGCATCGGTTTCAATAGGCGCTGTTTATTCTTTAAATATTTTATCTACAGATGCAATGGTAGCTGTAAAAACAGCTATAAATTATATTGAGATTGACATTACCAATTGGTGTATATTTGATCCGATCTGATGATGCCTGGCCAGCTTGCGTATTACAACATACTTATCATCTAATTCTAACTATCAGGACTTTCAAATACAATCCTAAAAACAAAACAATTGTACGGTGTTGCCTGACAACGTGCTCAATTCATCTGGTCGTCTGTAAAAGGCCAACGAATTCAGACTAGGCGAAAGGTAAAAAATATAAAAATATAAACAATACGTTCAAAAACGGACTGAACACCGTCAAAAAAAGATTCAAATAATAATAAAATAGAAACTCGTGATACGCAATACCGCATTCGCTGTATATGTATTTATTTTTTTAACATACACAAGGTGTATTGAAATTTGTTTACTATTATTAATGTTAATAAATTATTATTATTATACAGCGTGTTTTCAAAGTTGTCTCATTTATTTTAACAGCTTGTAGACTTCGTCAAAAGAAGTTGATAGAGCCAAAATCGCCTATATAAAAGTTGCATAATCGGAGCGTTATTATTATTAAAATGTTAGAATTATGTCCACTAGTTCATTCTCTTCGCACAAAATAGTCAGACAAATGAAGTTATACACACTATTAAAAGACTGATTCAACTGATCGAACCAAAGACTCGTACTGAAAATCATACAATAAAACAAAAAGTTTGCCAACTTTTACTATTTACCTTATTATACAGGGTGGGCCAAAAGAAGCTGACCTATTTTAAACTTTAATAACTTTTTTATTTATTAATATTTTTTAATGTAGTTTAGTTAGTATTTATTGGAGTTTTTTTTTCGAATTAAGTATGAAAAATAATGTCGCGTAAGTGATGGCCATTTTCTCTTTCACACACAACATTCCTTTCCAAGACACTGTCCATAACTGCCTCCAATGTTTCCCGATTTATGGCTCGAATTTCCATTATGATATTGTTCATAAGTTGTCTTGAGGTTCGAGGTATATTGCGGTAAACTCTTTCTTTCAAATATCCCCATAAATAAGAATCTGGCGCGGTTAAATCAGGGGAACGTGGGGGATATTTTTTGTCAACAACACGGCCAAAACGGGCCGGTGTTCCTCAGGGTTCGGTCCTAGGACCAGTCCTTTATTCTTTTTTTATCCATGATGTCCCTTGTCCCAGCAACTGTGAAGTCTACCTCTATGCTGACGACACTGCACTTGTCGCCCAGTCATGTGCTGGTGATCTGGTTCACGACGGGTTGCAGAGTGCGGTGGAAGAAGTACTAGAGTGGGCGGAACGGTGGCTGATTAAAATTAATCTGCAAAGTAGAACAATTTGCAACGTTCCATGGTATGTCTCAAACGAGACACTACACAGAGACCTTGACATTCCTTACTTGAGGGATCATGTCAAACTTCATGCGCAGCGACGTTATAGTCGAGCGGAATCGCACAGCAACCCTCTGTTGCGCGACTCAGTGGACTACACAGTGGAGCAGGTTCGTAAGCATTCAACGCCACGGCTCGCACTGTAACCAAAAATTAGCGCGAACTTTTGGTAAACCTAAAATTACACTCTAACAAAGCCGAATCAAAATTTGTTTAGTTCACCTCAAAATTAATCCGTGTACCAAGTCAAAAAGCCTGGGTGTCTCCTCTTAAACTAAACACTTCTGTTTCTCTTTGCTTTTCTTCATTTTTCTTCTCGTTCCCTTTCTCTTTTTCCTTGTTTGGGCAACCAGTACTGACAGATTAGACTAACGTACATTAAACAGTGACTAATGAGCAAAGGTCCTACGGACAGACGAACAAATGACGAATAGTATAGGTATTCTAAACGTCTTTTAAAATCTAAATTTGTAATTGCTTATCTAGAATGTGTGAAAAACATCCTGTAATTTTTAATAGTTGTATTTCCGCATTTTCTGGTATTGTCATGAACTAGAGCATCGATATATCACCGATTAAAAATTAAGTTTTGCTTGGGTAAGAGTAGCGAATTCTAAAACACGAACAATGCAGACTTTTGAATGCATCCCGTTAGACTTCATTTATTCAAAGATAACCATTGGTTATTTTCTGACTAAAACGTCTTACAGGGGCTTCACCTTTCACCCTAAATGTAGGCCGACTATTCTAACTCAAACCAAACGCTTATCCAGACTTTACAGTGAGCGATATACAAAACAGTCCGATGTATACGGACAGATAAGACAGATGGTGTTTTCTCACGAGCGGCTCCACGATTTTCTTCGTGCACAAAGAGAGGGAGTTTTTCTGTTTCCGTGTTCAAGAAAAACGATACTCGCCTTCGGATAATGAATGGGCGGTGAGACTCGAGGTATTAATTGATTCTGAAGTAGAAAAATGGACTCGCAGGCACGCTCCAGATGGGAGTATCGGAAGTTGTGGAAAGCAATAATTCCTAGGATATCACATCTTGCTCTTTTTTCGATGTCTACAGATTCGAACTGCTGGAGTCGTCGTAGGTGGGTGGTCGAGAAATGCATGTTTAGGTTAGGTTTAGTGAGGTCCAGTTGTAAAATCCAGCATACCTCTTGCAATAAGTGATTAAATAAGGGTCTCTTAGTATCCTGAGCTGACATTAATTCTCGAATAATTTATAAGTTATTATAAGTTTTATTTTCGTGAACATCATAAGTTACAGGTGGCTCCTGTCGCTGCATCTTTTCTAATTTCGTTTTATAATAACCTTGTTGTAAAATACTTGTTTGGTACCGCTGTAATGGCACTAGACGTTGCAGCTCTTTGTAGTTAACTCTTTGGTTTCCTCAGTTGCGTATTTCTCTGTTGCTAATTTTCTTTTTGGTGGCAATGTCTTCTGAATTGCTGGCGATGTAATACTAACTGTTTGCTCACTGCGCTCGGCATATAGTTCACTTCCTTCCTCTTGAACACTACCAACCTGAATGGCACTTCTAATTTTCCCAATTGTAGGATTACAGTCACCTTCCATAGCTTTCTTTCCCAATCTAACAATTTAATTGCTTTATTACCAGTTTTTTTTAGATCTGCTTTTTCCTTCAATCTTGATTTCATGTTCTTGATTTTTTTTAATAAGCCTTTAGTATCTAATGGTTTACCAAATGTTGATTCGTATTTTTCCAACATCTTCAAGGCATCGCCTTTGTCATTTTTATTTTTGGAACTTGTGACTTATGCAAAATAATGGGAGCAATGGCAAATGCATCTACGATGAACTGCAGGTCGTTGCCATTATTTTCTATAGTTCCCTCGTCACTTGAGGATAACATGCTTACTATTTTGATAAAAAACTGTATCCAGTAAAAATACGGAACGGTCTGTGTAAGCTCTGGAGTACAACTGTCACTGATGCTGAGGGAACGAACTCCCACGACAACTACAAGCTGGAACAAGTCAGGACATGTCGCTCAAGATACAAATACCAGTCAACCTTTTGCTGTTTCTTGTAGGATATCCTCGCAAGTATAAGGTAATCATGATGAATTGGAAACAAGGTTATGCTTATACTTCCACCTTTTTCTCCGAAGCAAGACCTTATACTTTTACCTTATGCTTCCGAGGATATGCTTCCCTTTTATGAATACGGCTCACTAACTGCATTCTGACCACCACGTATTTTGAAACTACCAAAGGATACATCACTTTCTTGAAGTTTTTGTTAACCCAAAAAATACCTTGTACGTTGAAGAGAATTGGAGATGACAATTTGACAAAAAGTGACCTGATATGACCCGGATATTATCCTATAGCCTACTCTCAGCTTACATTTATTGCAAAGTTCCCGTATTTTGCTTATTCCTTTTGCATCATACTTCTACTGGCGAGGAAGTATTGCAACCGAAAAAAAAATCGAAAGTGAGATATTATGTTTATGTCATCAACATCACGGAAAACCATGTCACTCATTTCCACACTGTCTGTATGTCGGCAGCAATTAGAACATAGAGCGATAGAGGCATAGTTAATAAGCATCTAACTCGCCTTTTATTGGAGAGAGGCGACGTTGCCAGGGTGGGGCAGGGAAATAATGTCTATGGACTAATAATTGTATCAACCTGTTTGATGAACTTGATCCGCTTAATTTCTCAGTTATACATTTTTCGTAACTAATCTTTTCGTCATAGAGTTCAACTTAAACATGCTACTTTCGTCTGCCCGACCAAGACAGGCAATCTTGGGCATCTGTCCCGTGCTTTTTTGGCATCATCAGGATGATCTAAGCCCAGGGTATAAACTCTATGGCGCTCTTATGCCAAATATTACCCTTGATATTATATATATAAGATTGTTTTAGAGCACATTGACATGATTCTCTTTTTGTTTCAGTATTACGTGAAGACTTTCGACTTGAACCCCAGTCAGCCCGCGTGTCTGCAGGTGAAGATGTAGTGCTGGAATGCCAACCGCCGAAAGGCAGCCCTGAACCTCGAGTTACATGGCGGAAGGACGGCAAACCTCTTCTGGTTGAAGGCCGACTTACCTTGGTAGATGGAAATAGCTTAGCGATTTCACAAGCACGAATCACCGACGATGGCAGGTATCAATGTGTAGCTTCCAATGCGGCAGGGGAGAGGGAATCTGCTATAGCTGTGCTCACAGTATACGGTAAGATACTACATTTTGTTGTTATCAAAAAAGCTTCTTGGCAAAGACGACTAAGGTTAGGTTAGGTAACTAAGTAGATTAATTTCTGCAACGTTAAAGTATGACATTTTCGGAATTAAAATCAAAAACGCTAAAATCTGTCATCACTAAGAACAAATATAGTTTAATCCAAGTAAATCCACGATCCTCTTGTTTTGTAATGAACAAAGAAGAGCCTTGTGCTTCCTTACATAAAAATTGCTACAGACAAACAAATGTTGGAGTTCACGGATTCCGCTGAAATTCTTGGTGTGATTTTTGATAACAAGTGGAGGTCTATTGACATTTAAAGAGTATCTGCCAAAATATGAATCTATCCTCCATTAGGTACTTTAATAGCTCATCGTTACTTGCACAATTTAAGTTACATAAAAGCTGTGTGAGACTTTAATTGTATTTATCTTAAATTACTATAATACTCTTTATTTTCCATCATTACATTATTTTACTAAAAGTATTGTTTAGTTGATTCAAAATAATTATACTAAGTGACATATAAATCCGAACACCCAGTTTAAATGGTTTTATTTTAATAAAATTTTGTATGAGTACTTAATGAAGCATAATAAGTAAATGATAAAAATTTCAAAATGATTGCACTGCTTTAAAACCCTTTGACCTTTAATAATGTGTGGATGCACCATGATGTGCTACGCATTCTCCAACGCGCCTAGGCATGCTTCTGATCAGGTGTCCTCCTGTGGTATCTCATTCCAGGCAACCACCAACTCCTCTCGAAGTGCTTCTAGAGTCTGAGGAGGACGTTGCAAATTGAGCAATCTCCTACCCATCATATCCCACACGTGCTCAATTGGGGATAAGTCGGGAGATCTTGGTGGCCATGGTAACAATGTGACATCATTATGTTGAAAGAAGTCTATTGTGACTCTTGCAACATGTGGTCGGGCATTATCTTGTTGGAAAATGGGATCTGTCAGGGTGTCAAGATAGGGTAACAGATGGGGTTCTAGAACTTCGTGGATATAACGCTGCGCGTTCATGTTACCTCTGATGAAGATTAAAGGTGACCTGTAACCATAAGCTATAGCACCCCAAACCATAACTCCAACAGTGTGATGAACATGTCTTTCAACAAAAAACTGTGGATTCCTCCTTTCACCACGTCGCCTTCTAACCCTGGCACGACCATCGTGCATGCCTAAACAAGAGTGACCGTTGTCTGCACCACTCAAGGCGATTACGTCGGTGTTCTCGAGTTAAAGGGAGGACCCAGTGTGGCCGGTATGAAAACAAGCCAAAACTTCTCATTCGTCGGTAAACACTTCGCATGCCAATAGGTCTTCCATGTTCTGCAAACCATTCATTTGCAATGGACCTGGTAGTGGAGAAACGGTGCCTTAAGGCCAATAATCTTAGGCGGCGATCTTCACGGTCTGTTGTTCTACGGCGGCGTCCATTGCCCCTTGCTCTTTGCGTACGGCCTTCTCGAAGCCATGCCTGACAACACCTAACCACAGTGTCTACACTATACGGCCCCTATCAAACTCACTAAGTTGACAAAATTGTACAGGTCTCCCTTACTCTAGGCATCGTAACCGATCGTAAAAGATGTCAAGAACCAAAATCCGCCAACGTTGATTCTTTACTGCGGCTGAAATATTTATTTTTAGAGCGTTGGTGAATTAAAAAAAAGCAGTATAAAAACCGGAATGTCCAACTGATAAGGCTGAAAATTTTTTCACTTATTATTTACAGTAAGATAAATACATTCACCAACTTTTATTAAAATAAAACCATTTAAACTGGGTGTTCGGATTTATATGTCACTTGGTATATGTGAGGTTTATATTCAGCCTCGTAAACTTGACTACGTTTAGGCTAAAATGGATGAAAATGAATTATTTTGTAGGATATAATTAACTAAATTTCACGCATAAACTATTTCTAACATCGAAGCCTCGTAATCTCAGAGAAAAAATTTCCTTGAAAAAGACAGAAAAATATTAATATACACTACTACAACATCGTTCAACCCTGTTCAAAAGTAGTTCATGTACTGTTGCCATAAGATATAATTGAATTCCTGAGGCGTAAAAACGGTATTTGCTTCCCATGTTCCTTAATAAAGGTAAACTTTCGTGTAATAATAGCAAATGTCAAACATCGCCAGTCAGTCCGCTGTAATTTTGTAATTCTGTTAATAAAGACGTCTATTAGTATTTTTTTGATTATTATTATTACTATTATTATTATTATTATTAAACGCCTTATTGAAATTCTAATTATGCCACCTTATGGGGGAGGAAAAGTGCGAACGTAATGTGCAACTTATTCTGAAATCTCACCTCAGTCAGGAAAAAATAAAAACGTACGAGGGACACTAGAAAAGAAGTCTACCTAGCCATTAATGCACAAGCCTAATATGTCAGAAATTTGAGCTAATTTTGGTAATTACTTTCCAATTTATGATTTTTTTTAATAATTGGAATTGTACTAGATAAAAACTTGTATAGAAAATCGTAGCCAAGACATACAGTGTGGCGCATCGAAAACGAAACAGACGCGTTCACTGGCAGCTCAGTTTTTTTTTTTGAAAAAACGCTCAGACCAGTCGATTTTGTTTTCGAGGAGGACACAAGTTTGGCAAAAAATCACGTTAGCACGTGCAGCCCCCTAAGTGGGGGTGACACCACCCCTAAAAACTTAAATGCAAAGGGGGGTCGAGTGATACCTTATTTTAAAGGTCTTTCAATTCTCTTTATAATGATGTAAAATACATGAGCTTCAGTTCAGTAGTTTTTAAGATTTATTGATTTAAAGCTTAAAGTAGACTTCAATAGGTGCATCAGATTAGTTTGTACTACTTTCAGAAGAAATTTGACTAAAAGAATTTACTTAACAAGTAAATGCTTTTCTTCACCACATCCATGGTTTGTTTATCATTTTGTTGTTGAAAATAGCTATTGTAGCGTTTTTTTTTGTGACAAAAATGTTATTTCTTGAAGAAAGATAAGGAAATATCTCGTACTTATTTTAAATAGGAATTTAGTACATAGTTTGCAATTAGTTTGACCAAACTTTGTTGCTAAAATAACTTGTAACGCTTTATTACATAATTTAACCATGGTATATTCCACATCAGAAAGAGTTGAAATAATCAGTGCCCTAATAGAACAGCAGAAATATTTAATGAGCGACACGAGAACAGTAACGAGCATCGAAAATATGTTATAGAACTTGTAGCTAAATTTCGGGAGACTGGGTCAGTCGCCAATAAAAAACGCAACATTGAAAATCCCATAAAGAACGAAGCAATAGAAGTGGGGGTCTTAGGGCAAGTTTATGTAGTTCCTACGTTAAGTACCCGCAAATTGGGTACTGTGTGTGGTATTAGTCGACGTACTGTCCAACGGATTCCAAAGGCCCATAGTTTTCATCCGTATAAAATTCACCTGGTACAAGAACTTAATGAAGACGATTTTGATCGGCGATTAAAATTTTGTGAAGATATGAGTGAACGAATTATAAACGATATTTTCTATTCACCATTTGCTTTTCCACCGAATGTTCCTTTTTTTTAAATGGCGTAGTAAATCGTCATAACTGCCGATATTGGTCCGATTCTAATCGCTGAATTTATCATGAGGTTCATACACAGCAGCCACAAAAATTAAATGTTTGGGCTGGTATTCTTGGCGATCATTTAGTTGGTCCTTTTTTCTTACCTGGAAATTTGACCGGTGAAACGTATTTGGAATTACTGGAAGACGCCATAGATCCTGCATTAACAGCCATAATTGAAAATCAGAATGATCGGCGGTACATTGCGAATAGGTTGATGTTCGACCAGGATGGTGCCCCAGCACATTACGCATTACGTGTTCGACAATATTTAGATCAGACGTTTCCAGATCGATGGATTGGTAGAAGAGGTGCCATTGAATGGCCCCCAAGATCGTCAGATCTATCACCTTTGGATTTCTTGATGTGGGGTCATTTAAAAAGCAAAATCTGTGCTACTCAGCCAACATCATTAGAAGACCTGCGACAAAGAATTGTGAGTGAGTGCCTTCAAATTACTCCTCAAATATTGCAAAATATGCGGCAACGTTTTGAGCAACATCTTTATTAGTGTATGGAGAGTCATGGTGGCCATTTTCAACATTTACTTGCCTAACGGGTCAGTTCATTCTTCATTTTTAAATTACTTTGCTGCCAAATGTATTGATCTCTTTTAATGATGATGTTTTAGTTTTATTTAAGCTTTAAATCAATAAATCTTCAAAGCTTTCCATTTAAGATTTTGGGGGTAGTGTCACCCCCACTTAGGGGGATGCACGTGCTAACGTGATTTTTTGCCAAACTTGTGTCCCCCTCGAAAACAAAATGGACGGGTCAGAGCGTTTTTCCAAAAAAAAACTGAGATGCCAGTAAATGCGTCTGTTTCGTTTTCGATGCGCCACCCTATATAAAGGTATAAAGTCAGTGTTCTCAGGCCATTGTTTCATTACAGTGAAACCTTACCTGATACGCCCACCAGTGGATGTGACTGCTCTGGTTGACGGTACCGTCGAGTTTTCCTGTGAAGTCGGTGGCGATCCTGTACCTGATGTTCTATGGAGACGCGTGGCACCTGGGGGAACTATGCCCCTCGGTAGAGTTAGGGTCTTAGAAGACAGGACATTGAGATTGGAGAGAGTTACGCTTGCAGATCAGGGGGTGTACACCTGTGATGCAGATAATTTTGCAGGTAACTCAACAAATATGTTTTCGATAACACACACATCCTAGAGGCAGCTTCATAGTTTACATGAGCACATCATAAGCAAGAGTAGTTCAAATAGTACTGCTTCGTCTTTCAGATGCTCTACGAAAGTATTTTCAGAAACCTGGCCTAAAAATGTTTGATTTTTTCAGGTGCTGTAACAGCTTCAGCTCATCTGACAGTCCTTGCACCTCCAACGTTTTCCGTACGTCCATCAGCACAAACTGTAGAAGTAGGACAACAAGTGTCGTTTAGATGTAAAAGTGAGGGCAGTCCTACGCCTTTTCTCTACTGGGCTATTGAGGGAGTTCGGGTGCTACTTTATCCAGGATCAAATGAAGGAGGATTTGAGGTCACTGATTTTGATGGGGTATCGACGCTCATACTTAAGGAGGCACAGGTACAACCCCATCTGTTCACATAATACCTCGATCAAAGTTCATTTGCTTGTTGGTTCGAGACTACTTGCTTCAAAATTCCGAAAGGCAATACATACAAATATTCTTTTTTATCGTACTATTATTCAAATTGTAGAGGAAACAAAAACTTTGGATATAGAATAAGATACAAATAAAGTTTAAATGTCACGTTATGGATAAACTCAAATTATTTTATCACAAATATAAAACATGTTGGGGATATAAGCGCATATTGTCAAGGGATATTAAATTAATACTTTTAAACTCATTAATCCTTGTATATTTGTATTATGGCGTTACAGTTTATTACAACTTTCTTACAGAGACAATAAATTGAATTATTCCAATTTTACAGAACCGTTGCATAAGATTTTGTTATAAAGATGTAGGTAGACAAGAGCTCATCACTGGTTATTATGTGAAGGAAGATATTTCAAAATATAAGTACCACTCACTGCCATCTTATGGTGCTCTATTGTATAAAGTCTTGAGATATAAATCTCCGAAATATCTATATAATATTTTAGATAAAATATTCTCTTGTTGTCTTGTTTTGATTGTTAAAAAAAGCTATCATTTACACATCACCTTGTTTGTTGAATAAATGTTTGAAACTTTTCCAGATCAGTTAGGTAATATAAATAAATAACAAGCTACAGCTACACTTTATTAACCAGTGATTTACTATTGCATTTACATTGATACCTCAATTTTATAACATTGCTATATTCTATGTAAAATGTGAGATAAGATGAAACTCATGATTCTGTATAAAATCACTCTAAATTCCTGATTTTCTTTGTAATTGTACTGTATGCGACGTTGAAAAATGGCAATGCCAAACCTCACCCTTATGGACCGTTGTTTTTTAATATCTGCCTTTATTTTGTTTAAATGCTCCAATAAATACGTATATTATTACTTTTATTATATGATATTACCTAGTATGGCCTTCACAGTTTACCTGTAGAGCTTCTTCTTGTTTCTCCACAGATATATATATATATATATATATAGTTATATAGTGAGAGAAAAAGAGAGAAAATGATCATGCGGAGAAAGGTATATAACAAAAAATAGGAAAATAATGGGCAAAATCCGCAAAAAGAAGGAAAGTGGATTTGAGCAGAAAATAGGATACGTAACCCCAGCCTACCAGCAGAAATACGTATCGCTCGGGTTACCTATCCTATTTTCTGCTCAAATCCGCTTTCTTTCTTTTTGCGGATTTTGCCCATTTATATATATATATATACAGGGTGACTTTGAAGTTGAGTCATTAATTTTCAGATAATGATTGTAGAAGGAAGATAAACCAAAATATGTGTGTAAAAATAAAAAAAAAATAAAAAAAAAAATTTTACCTTGTTTTATAAAGTATCCTCCCGACAAGTATTTCAGTGCGGACCTGTATTTGATCGTGAGGTCCCCTGTGAGGTCTGAAGTCACCTGATTCACGAGCCCGTTGTACTACTATTAACAAAGGCACGAGGGGTTGGCTGCACTCGATTGGGAAACCGATCCGCATAAACATGTGCCATTTTTTATTTCGTTTGAGCCACGCAACAGATACTGTTCACACGCGACTGACACTGATTGTATGTATAACTGAACTGAATAAAGTAAACATCGTTCCAAATTCTTTCGCTTTTTTGTTTCCGATGCGATGAACCGATAAGGTGGATTATATCCGTTGTTGCCAAACACCAGCACATGATGTTATTGAGACAGGGCGGTACTCAAACTTCCAAAGGGCTATAACTTTGTTACTTTAATTTTACCAGAAAAATGGTAAAGGAAAAAACATTTCTTTTGATCAGATCTACTCACTGTTAAAATAAATGACTCAACTTCGAAGTCACCCTGTATATATATAGGGTGTCCGCAAAGTTGGGGTTTTCCTTTTCAAAAACAGCTACCCTTGAAATAACAAAGGTAATGTGTAGTGAAACGAGGGCGACCAAGTAAAAAAAAATAAAGGAAAAAGTACTCACTCTCCAGTTGACGAGAAGGGCTAAGTACGTCTCTGCCCGAAATCATACCGCTCCAACAGAAAATGAAATCAGCTGATGCGCTACCGAGCAGACGCAGAAACCACATTGATTGTCTTACACTTAATGGCACATCTTCTAACAAGGAAGGCAAAATGTTGCGTAAAAAGTCTAGGTATTGCATCCCGTCCAATCGATTTTGGAGAATAAATGGTCCAATGAGCATACCGTTCACCATGCCAGCCCAAACATTCACCGAAAATGTTTGTTGAAAATTGCCCGACGGACAGCCTGCGGATTTTCTACTGACCAAACATGAGTGTTGCGAAAGTTATTCACCCCATTACGCATGAACGTAGATTTGTCTGTCACCAATATGCACTTCCAAAAGTCCAGATTATTGTCATGTTGATGCAACAACCACTCACAAAACCGCACTCTTGCTGGAAAATCGTCAGGTTGAAGGGCTTGTACACGTTGGACGTGAAACGGATACAGCCCCTCTTCACGCAGCGTTTGCCACACTTTAGTTTTTGATACTTGCACTTCTCTAGCCACGTCTCTAGCGCTTGTTGAGGGATACTCGTCTACGCGATTACCTCTACACGCGTGACCGTAACCATCGGTTGAAGGTTGCATACTGACCTGACACACTGACCCCGACCCAGTTCTGTCGTCGGGTTGAGTCAGTGACCTTGTACCAGTCGGTGATGTCGCGGCTACAGGACGGTATTAAGATATTGTTGATGTTGCAGAGCCCTTTATCTCGGTTCCCTTAAGACATTGGTGTATATGGTACTAAGAAAAATTGCTTATGTTTTCAAGATCTACACGTCGTGTAAAGGAAAACCCCAACTTTGCGGACACCCTGTATATATATATATATATATATATATATATACAGGGTGACTTTGAAGTTGAGTCATTAATTTTCAGATTACGATTGTAGAAGGAAGATAAACCAAAATATGTGTGTAAAAATAAAAAAAAAAATAAAAAAAAATTTTACCTTGTTTTATAAAGTATCCTCCCGACAAGTATTTCAGTGCGAACCTGTATTTGATCGTGAGGTCCCCTGTGAGGTCTTAAGTCACCTGATTCACGAGCCCGTTGTACTACATTAACAAAGGCACGAGGGGTTGGTTGCACTCGATTGGGAAACCGATCCGCATAAACATGTGCCATTTTTTATTTCGTTTGAGCCACGCAACAGACACTATTCACACGCGACTGACACTGACTGTATGTATAACTGAACTGAATGAAAAATTGTAAAAACATCGTTCCAAATTCTTTCGCTTTTTTGTTTCCGATGCGATGAACCGATAATGTGGATTATATCCGTTGTTGCCAAACACGAGCACATGATATTGTGATTGAGACAGGGCGGTACTCAAACTTCCAAAGGGCTATAACTTTGTTACTTTAATTTTACCAGAAAAATGGTAAAGGAATAAACATTTCTTTTGATCAGATCTACTCACTGTTAAAATAAATGACTCAACTTCGAAGTCACCCTGTATATATATCTTGGTCTTCTTTTGTTCTCAGATTCAGAATTCTGGAACCGTAGTGATATGTTCAGCGTTGAACAGTGCTGGTTCTGTTTCAACCAGAACCCGTTTAACTGTTACATCAAAAGAAGATAGACCTCCTCCTGTTATAGTGATGGGACCAGTAAATCAAACTCTACCAATCGGTTCAGCTGCTCTGATCACTTGCAAGGCTGAAGGCAATCCTGCGCCTTTCATATCATGGTATAAAGGAGGTAAGTCTAACTAACACCCCATTGGAGTTTCAGACTCGTTCATTCAAATCAGATACAGTAAAACTTCTCTCAGGTGTACCAGTATCTTCGTCCACACGTTTGAACATGACAATACCGACTCACCTTACCATAACTGACCTCCAAGAAGAGGACAGTGGTTCTTACACCTGCGTTGCTTCCTCACGGTTTGGAAAAGCGGTCTGGACAGGACATCTTACAGTCGCTGATCCAAAGAATCCAAACATCAACTTTTTCAAGGCTCCTGAGCCGTCGATATTACCGGAAGCACCTGGGAGGCCGCATGCACTTAACCAGTCAGAAGGTAGCGTTACAATTACATGGGACATCAATAAGAAATCGCGGTCATCAGGGTTCTCGGAGTAAGTAGCGATTTTGAATTTGCGTTAAAAATCAGTGTTAAAGACGCGTTTCTTACAAGGAATAACGCATAGCCAGTCTTCGATAGAATAGTAATAATACTCTTGAATAAATTCAAAGATACTCAGAAATATTGTTGATCATGTTTTCTAAAATATGTCTTCGCTTTTCCTCTCTAGACGATTTTTAGTAAGTTTTGTTATTTTTCCTAGCTACCAGGTAGAACTTTTTGGGAGAGAAGAAAACGTTACTCCAACTTGGACCGTGGTAGGCCGACATATACCTGGGCCTACTTTTACTCAACATCTACTTTCAACCGGGGTGCCATATACATTTTTGGTTCGAGCAAGAAATGAACATGGGGTAAGTGTCTAGTGTAGTAGTGTAAGGGTACTGTTAAAATAGGTTTCAATAACAAATTGTCGAGTTCTTGAAAAAATTAGCTCATACATACACACACATATTCATATTCTTCTTATTGTGTCAATTCACATAAGAGTATACTATACAAAAAACTAGAATGCTACAAAGTGGGCCATTTAAAGTGGAAGCATCACCAACCCTATATCTTTGACATTAGTTGTCAGATCGACTAATGTCATACCGCGTTGGAAGCGTCATTTCGGTACAGTTTTAACCATGGAACCAAAAACGTGCTGAAATTATTCAGTTGTATGTTCAAAATAACTTTTCAATCGTGAAAACTGAACGTGCGTTTCTTAAAAAAAAGTTAAAGGTGCTCCATCTGTTAACGCTATCAGACGTTTATACGCAAAATTTGTGAACTCCAGTAGTCTTAGTAATACAAGTCACTTATCCAGATAACGAACAAGACAATCCGATGAAAACATCGAAGCTGAACGAGCCAGTGTTAAAGAGACTCCATCAACTACTCTCCGACGCATAATTCGTAAGGATTTGAAGATTTTTCCATACAAAATTCAAATAACTCATCAATTAAACACAGCTGATTATCCGTGTCGCTTTGATTTTACTAAATGGAGCAATGAAATGGCCGAAAATGAAGATGACTTTTGGCGCAAAATCATCATGTCCGACGAGGCACATTTTTCGTTACATGGAGGCGTAAGTAAACAAAATTGTCGGTTTTATGCGAACATCAATTAATCCTCTTTATGACCAAAAAGTTACTGTTTGCAGGATGGCGTCACATGTCACACAGCTCAAGCAACAATCAATTTATTGCGACCATTGTTGCCTGGGCGACTGATATCGAAAAATGGCGATTTTGACTGTCCACCGAGATCACCTGATTTGACGCCACCATAATTTTATTTGTGGGGCTAGTTGAAATCCAAGGTATATGCTAGCAAGCCAAGGACTCTAGCTGCCCTCAAGAACAATATTCGTCAAGAAATTCCAGTCATATCCGCCGAAACATTGGCCAACGTGACGAAAAACGCCGAAAAAAGGGCACATCTGGTTATGAAGGCCAGAAGTGACCATTTACGCGATATCATTTTTGAAAAGTAATTACAACAAATCTCCTTGGATCAAAATAAAAGACTTTCCAAATAAACAACTAAAAATATTGTTTTAATGTCTTTTTTTATAAACAGATGCTCCCACTTTAAATGCTCCACCCTATATGTCATAAGAAGCACCGAGCTAGCGCTATTTATTTCGTATTTGTTAAATAGGAAGTAGTATGTATACACTGAGGGCACCGAAACTTACCTTTTGCCTATTTGCAGCGGGGTACCCCAGGGATCAGTACTTGGCCCCCTGCTATTTCTAATATAAATCAATGACCTGTTCTCGAGTATTGATAATGGATGCTGCTACAAATATTATCACTTCCATCAATTTTAATTTTGAAGTCCTATGTTATGTGTAAGAAATCCATACTCGCAACTAAATGTCACTAAAAATAATAGACCTAACGTTAAATAAAATAATTCGTAAAATAATTGATATATCAATGCAAATAAAGAACATACTTTTGAAAATATGTCTAATCGCTACTTCTCAAAGTTTGCTGAAAAAGCATTTCTGTTTCTTATTCGGTTGATGGGTACGTTGATACTATGTCACTTGGATAGATAGATAGATTAGTTTGTGAGACCTCACTTGTACATTTTATATACAGAATGTGGTCAACAAATGGTATGGTATGGTATATAATCTGAACCAAAGTTACAATTTCCGGATTTACACTTTTTCAGCTTGGTCCACCGTCTCAGCTATCTGAGCCGATAGTGGTCGGTCCTGACTCAACTCAAAATTGGGGTAATCCCGAAGTGACGATCCTAAGTGAAGCCAGAGCAGTATTGATGACGTCCAACGTCGTCAGGTTGACTGAAGGCATCGCACTATCTTCCACCTCCATCAAAGTGAGCTGGATGGTCACTGATTCGACATATGTGGAAGGACTGTATATTTATTACATTTCGCTGAATAGCGATAGCACTAGTCCAAAAGGTATGAACATGGTACTTGCAACCTATCATATATAAATTGAAGAAAACTCAGCTTGTTATGAATCTAACAGTTCATTCTTTATTCTTATCCCTTCCGGTAGGTTACAGCATGTTAACAGTTCTACACACGGGAGGATCATCTAGCTTCACGGTCAACAATCTGGAAAAATGGTCAAGCTATCAATTCTTCCTTGTGCCTTTCTTCAAGAATGTTGAGGGATACCCTTCAAATTCTAAAACGATAAAAACACTCGAAGATGGTAAGTCTGATTTTTTGTTGGCACATCCATACAGATTGTTAACATCTAAATGTAAAAAAATGCTGAATATTATCTTTGAGGTGTCATCTTTCTCAAATGCAGAATACAGGAATCTAACCCAAATTTTTGTCATATTCATTACTCGAACAAAAAATAACTATAGGTCTCAACATTTTCTCCTGGCTGGCTCATACAGGTTGTTAATGTCATCAACTTATTGGACACATGTGGCCAACTAATGTACTGCCAGATGTCGAGACGCTCTTAGAAGGTATCATATTACAACATTAATCAATCAATAGAAGTCAAAGAACTAAAACTGGCAATACACTATCAAGCATTTCGGTAGGTGTGACACAGAGGAGCAAATTAGGCGCATTACTATTTATTTTATATATTAACAGATGTTGAAAAGGTTTTTGTAGAAATTATCTACTAACAGAATTTATTGAGGTAAATAACATTTTAACCAAATTTCAAGCTGGATTCAGGAAGAAACATTCATCTGAAACGGCAACACAAATGGTTTTAGAGGACTGAAAGATATGTATGGACAATCGGAAACATACAGTAACAGTGTTTTTGGACTTCAAAATGGCGTTTGAGACTATTGACAGGGATAAATTACTTACAAAATTGCATCACTACGGATTTAAAGGATCTGTATTCAAAATTCCACGAAACTATTTAATTAACAGAAGTCAAAGAACCAAAATTGGATCTACGCTTATCAAGATCAAAAGTGTTTCTGTTGGTATACCACAAGGTAGTAAACTAGGTCCACTACTGTTCATTTTATATATTAATTACATTTGTAATATGTTAGATTATTGTAAACTTCAGATATTTGCAGATGACATTAATATACATATCAGATCAAGATATAGACACTGCTTTGAAAATGCTAAATTCTGACTTGACAAAAATCGTAAATTGGTTAAGTATAAATAAACTAAAATTAAATACTTCTAAAACAAAATGTATGTTAATAGGAAAATACCTAAATGAAAATACTATCACAATTAGGATAAATGGAGAAATAATTGAAAATGTTGAATCAATTAAATATTTAGGTATATATATATATATATTGATAGTAAACTAAAGTTTGAGGATCACTGTGAATACATTATTTCAAAAATTGCCAAAAAACAAATTACTTTTATAGGGCTTCTCATAGTCCTGGTACCTATTCCAAGAAAATTAAAATTTATAATACAATTATTCTACCGCATTTACTATGTTGTTCAACTATCTTGTTCACTGCCAATGAAGCTGTATTCTCAAAATAGTATTGCAAAATAAAGCTATGTGAATAATATTGAATAAAAATAAGTACACCAAAATAAAATATATCTACAAGAATTGCAGTGGTTGAATATAAAAAATTTCATATCATATTTGGATCTTATTTTTATATATAAAATAAAAAATCAACTTTGGCCAGAACACTTAGAACACTACATAGAATTGAATAATCATTACCACAATTATTATACAAGGGGAAATATGGATTTTCACTTACAAAATTTCAATAGTAATATAACTAGCGAATCAATATTTCAGAAAGGGCTACTTGAATTTAATAAACTAAATAATGATATAAAGAATACCTGTAATTTAAAGATATTTAGAAGAAAATTAAAGGAATATTTCATGGACAATGAAAATTCTTAGAGATGCAAATTTTGTTTTTTTTTTCTGAATCTCTGTATGTTATGTAATTGTTTCGTTTCTTAGAATAATGTAATTAAAGCAATCATGCTAAACAAATCTGAAACAAACAACAAACAAATATAGTAACAATCCTGCGCCCCTTGGTAGAACCTGCCATGTACAGCACTGTACTAAACATCGCAGAAATACACTGAATATTGTTTCAAGTGCAAGTACTGAATATTGACATTCCATTTTCATTTCGAAAACAAACAAAAACTAAAAGATAAGTGATTTACCACTCAAGGTGAACAAAATATAGGAACATTTTTTTCAGTGCCAAGTGAACCTCCGTCATACATGGAAGCTCTCCTTCTTAACTCTACCACAGTCTTTCTCAAATGGCGTCCACCAGAACATTCTATAAACGGTGAACTACAAGGGTACAAGGTCGACGTTAGAACCAACGGCACTGATATTGTGAAAAGCATGAGCGTTGGAAAGGCGCCAAACCTGCTGCTGAACAACCTCACTGCTGGTGTTTCGTATTTTGTTAAAGTAGCTGCTTTCACCAAAGCTGGCACGGGACCTTATAACGCTGAGGCTACGTTGAGGTTGGAACCTGCTTCAAGGATTGCTGATAATACAAGAAGGTAACCCATATGTTTACTTCACCATTATTGTATAACAAACGATTTTATCCCAAACTGGTTTTTCCCATTTTTGGGAAATAGTTTTGGTAAGACTTTCAATTTTTTGCATTCTTAGTGTACATTTTTATTGTGAAATTGAGAACTTTTGGGATCGATATTGTATGGGTTAAAGTGAAAAATTGCTCTTAGAGATACATTTGTAGTAGATTCTAGAAAAAGTATAAAACATGCCATAAAACCCTGTTTTATGCTTTACATATACAGTGTTAATTATTATTTACTGATAAATGTTTCGTACTTCAGACCACTAGACCACAACCCATCTGGAGACTTCATCACAGAAACCTGGTTCATGGCACTGTTGGTCTCCATGGTATCCGTTATGGTGCTTCTGTTCGCCGCCATGATGTTGGTACGCAGACGTCAATTGGCCAATGGAAAAAAAAGTTTGACATCAAGGACCAATGGACATGTATTGAAGGGAGACTGTCCTGTCTCTCAACCTCCGCCGTTATGGTTGGACAAATCGACTGTTCCAGAGTACACTGTGACAGCCACCGATAGAGACACGCCTCTTCCTGATTACGCCAAGGCTTGTGCGGGAATAAGAAACCACAGTAAAGGGTGAGTAAATATACACGGTGTAAACGTTATGATAGTCAATATTTAAATGGGTGATAGAGGGGGTTAAAAGCAGCAAAAACTTTCATATAACATGGGGGTCGAAACGGCATTTTTTTAGAGAAAAGCGACTCCAAAGTAAAATAAAATCTGACAGTGCCGCATTGCCAGACGCAAATTACGACGGAACGCAGTGTAAATAAAGATGGAGTTTGCTATTTTTGGCTCTTAGCTATCAGCGTGTGAAAGTTGGTTGAACGTATTAAAAAATCCACTTATAAAGGAACACAATTTTTGTACATACATTGTTTTTCTTTTTAAAACCCACACTGCAGTTTTTTGTATTTAAAGAAGGTCTTCAAAATGTCATCCTCCACTTTCCACACAAGCTTCATTACTTCATTACGACGAACCCAGTTTCTTCTTACTCTAGGTCCTCGAAGTTGTCCATTTATTATTTCAGCCGCATTAAATTTTTTTTCGCGAAGATGAGCTTCAGTTGTTATTGGACCAGCCCCATAAACCATCCCTTTAAGTTCTCCCCAATACCCTCACGCTTCACCGTAAACTAACAACATATCGGCAAACTCTTGATTCGAGAACATTGTAAATAAACGCGACGACGTACGCGAACAAAAACAAAACAACACGCCCGATGCTCTGCTCGACAGAACGATAAAGTAATTTATCTATGCAAAACGATAACTAACCACTGTTACCGTTTGCGATCGATTACCGGTTCGATAAGAGTGATGAAAGACCGACGCACTGTTGTGATGTGTGTTTTAAATATTTAATTTAATGAAACTTACCTACCGACTACAAACTTTGGCTTAACTTAGAAAAACTGAATGCCATTTATTTGTTAATTACCCAATTTCAAAACGTTTTAGATTAGATTATAAAACTTAGTAAGATTGTGGTGATTGTGGTCGATATGAGGCACCTGAAGTTGTAAACTATAAAGCCATTTAAACAAAAATCTAATGACTTTTTTACCATGGGTCATATGAACTTTTTGACCTATTGACCTATTTTGACCCCCCCCCCCTATTACCCATTTCAATAATGACTACCACAACGTTTACACCGTGTATTTTATCAATATAGTTTGTGGTAGGGTCATCCAAAATCCATCAGATAGATATTAAATATAAGGGAAAAGATTCGACCCTTACTGTGGCTTGTGAGTATCAAATATTATTTTATAAAAACAATGTCATTTTGAACGTAGCGTATGTAGCCTATAAACTTCGATTCATACAGAATTTGTTTAACAGAGGATACAGGTTATTCAAAGAACCTTTTTGCTAAACCATTTTTGGAAGGAGGACTTACAGAGTCAACCTGAGTCACGAATTTGTTTCATTTTCAGTTTATCCAACGGTTCTGTTCCCGAATACCATGGAAGCATCAACCTACAAACAAACCCACTATACAAGGAGTTCTCACGACCTGACAGTCTGCACTACAGCTCGGAGAAATATTATCCGATCACAAGGAAATACAAGGACTACTCTTGCTTGCAAGTCCAGGAATACGCGAGTCCGAATATCCAGCCAGAGAAAACTATAGGTGACTATGCAGAAGTGAATAATTCAGGTATTCACGGTAGGGCAAATGGAGGAAATACGTCACCTGCACCTTATGCTACGACCACTTTGGTATCTGGGAAGAAGTCGGTAAGAAGTTTATAATAATGAAAATAGATAGTGACGTAATTTTAATTTTAATAGACAAAAAATGTAAAATTACAGAAAATGGATTGAAGAAAAATATAACCGAATCATTATACAAAATTGACATTGTGGCATTAACGCTACATAAATCTTCAACACAACAACATTCTCGACCCGACAAAAGTTAAATGATTTTTTTTCAGCCTTGGATGAACTTTGCACAGTCAACCAGCGCCGGCGCCGAGGAAGACCCGCCTTATCCCTCCTTAAACGGAGGCTACTACAACCGAAAAGTCTACTCAGACTCCTATTTCTCCCCCTCCCACACTCTTCGACGGCCTAAGCGAGACAAAGGCAGAAACAACCACCAATCAGAACCTCTGTCACCGACCAGCACCAATGGCAGCGTGTATGCGCGCGTCGGGCCGCCAGGAGGAGCTACGAGCGGTTCCTGGAACGGTACTGCCCCGACGATGAGTAGTTTTGCGCCTAATTTTCCCCCACCACCTGCGCCGTTGAGTATATATCAAGGCGCTAGGTCCGAACCGGGGAATGTACTGTAAGCGGTTACTGTGGTGAATAAATGTTAGACTAGAGTAAAAAAATAACGATCTATTATAGGGGCAGATAGAACGTGAATGTTGATCAGGATATCATGAACCACAACGGATGCTGGTAGAATCAACGAATTCGAATAGATTAGGAGGAACAAAGCCTACACCAGATGTCAACGAAATCGTTTTACAAGGCACTATGCAATTGCTATTTAAAGGAGAACCTTCAAATTTTGTGTGAAGGTATGACTTATGAAAACTCAGATTATTCCTTAAAAACAACTGAATATCTCTTCCGGTTTGACCGGAAGTGAGTATGAAACAAGAATTTTAAATTCGACCCCGTATATATTTTTACATATTTGCATAGAGTTTAAAATTTCCTTTTTAACGATATATCATAAGTTGTCATTCTTATTCAAAATAGCGGCGTTTTGACAGCATCTGTGGATTTTTTGCCAAACTAAAATGGATTATCTTGCCGCTTCTAAAATAAGTTGGCAATACAAAAAAAATTGTGATACATTTGGAACCATTTTTGTTTTTACTTAAAATGTCAAAATGTATTTAAAATTTTCTCAGAGTAGGAACTGGAGCTTTCTAAATGCTAACAATAAAGAGCGTCTTATTTCCGAAAGAAGGATGTTCAACAGTACGTTTCTTTTGTGTTTTTTTATTTCTAACGATAACAAGTGTATTATTATTTATATTTTCTTGACCAAAGACTAAATCGTTTATTAAAATTTGTACAATGAGCATACTGGTTGCTCTTCAAACTCCTTTGCAACCATCCTGGCAGCCAACAAAAAGCACATAAGAAAAGCTGCAGCTTGTTATTATTATCTTGCTGTCAAGTCTCGAACTATAAACAAAAGGCTTCACAAATCTTGGGTTAGAGATAGCTTTAAGAAGAAGGAAAATAATAATATAATGGAAACATTATTAGAACAACTAGATCGGGAACATCAGGAATGTTATAAAAACCTTCTTCGAATATACGCTGCTGATTTTCGGTATTTGCTGGACAAATTAAAGTTTGTAATAGGAAAATAAGACCCATTTTCTCAGATTTCTAGTTTTATAGCTTTCTGACGAGCAGACCCACAAATTGAGATAAGATACATATAATCCTATTGACTCTACTATCATGGCTCCAGTCCAATTGAAACTAGATTTTTTCCTTTTCAAACCTCTCTTTTCACTTGGTTCACTCACCGTAAACGCAAGATTTATCTCACGATATAACAACGCAACTCTCGTGCAGCTAGTGAAATAAATGTATCATGTGCGGCTCGCGATACATCATGTTTACTTGTACAAGAGCATTGTTTCACGAGATTATCTCGCATATATCACGCCTGTCTCTGCAATGAAATAATACTTGTCATAAGATTTTTATTTCACGAGAAAGGATATCATCAAAAAATCTCATTGTGGATCCGCACCTTAACACCAGACTTATTCGAATCACCCGCAGTTTTGAAAAACAGCACTAAAATACGAGTTTAGTGACGGAACTGTCAAAAATTAGCTTTCGTCAAGTCCACTTGTAGTATGCACTTTCATCCTGGATTCAGATAGAGATTTTGGAGACAAACAAATCGTAGGCTTGCTCTTTCTACCTAGTATGAATTCGCTGAAACTGATAGTAGAAATAAATAACGATCTCATAGTTTATGAGTGCCGATAGAGCAAGAATGTTGACTAAGATCCCATAAACCACAAAATGTCTGTCGTATGCCAACAAATGATGATATGCTACACATAAAACTTCAAGCAGTGAAATACGCTGACAGGTACCAGTCTAGATATTGATTTGAAATTTAATTAATAACCTAATGCAATTTGAATTTAACTTGGATGACCCGTTATCAATATTTTGGTCCTTGAAGGTTGATGATATAATAATAATAATAATAAATGTCTTTAATGATACACATACATACATCAGTGTGGCGAAGTTCAGGCAAATGGCTACTCTTACACTTCACCTCACTGTGTGCGAAACAGTAACATAGTTAAACTCGATACACAAACAAACAATAGTAGTAATAATAATAATAAGAAGAAGAAGAAAAAGAAAAGTAAATGAATTGAATAGATAACGTGTTGACAACACCCACACACGAGCCAACGGAGTAATATGAAACAGAAAAAAGAAAAAAAATATTTAACAAATGCACACTTGAACTATCCCATCAGCTGTTTCTTAACGAGTCTCCTGAAAGGTAGGTTTTATTGTTTTACTGCGATACATTTCATCTGTAGAGTTGTATAACTTGGCATCGCAAAATTTAGGTTGTGTCTGAGATTTATCTGATTAATGTTACCTCTTGGTACTAGCTATTCTAAAATGTACGGTGGCTTTTTTGTGCGAACTTCTTTATAGACAAACACCTTCATAGCATAAACAAACTGTGATTCCATCTTTAACCAATTTAAATCTTAATATTTACGAAGTCCAAACACAAACCTGCAGCAGTTGTTTTGAATTTTTTGTAACCTATACCGATCCGACGAATACAAATAAGAATAGAATAAAATCAGAGCATGTTGCAGAGATGATAGGATCAAGCTTTCAACTAAAATTTTCCTAGTCTTAAAGTTTAAAATGAACCGATTGGAGTATAAAAGTTTTAATTTGGCATACGTTTTTTGAGACAGGTAACCGATAAGTCTATCAAACTTCAAGTCCAAGATAACACCTAGGTTTTTAGAATGTTCTACCATGGGGATGCGCTCGTTATTTATATATACATGTGTTTTGGAGAAAAAAGCATACTTGAACTCTTTTCAGGATTGATCCTGAGACAGTGCTTTTTACAAAAATCCGTAGTATTGATTAGGTCAGTATTAATTTTAAACGACACTTCATTTAACTGAGCATATTTGAAGTGAAATGATAATTGTGTGTCATCAGCATACGTTTGTATAGAACAAAATTTCACACATGATACTAACTCTGTAGTGTAGATTAAATATAGCAGAGGTCCCAGAACTGACCCCTGCGGAACGCCAGATGAAACTAGAGTACTATAAGATAAGAGACACCTAACCGTCTTAACTACCTGTTTTCCATCAGCCAAGTAGCTTTGGAGAAATCTTAGCGGAATATCAGATAGTCCAATGTACTTCAGCTTGCTCAACATGATTTTGTGATTAACTGTATCAAAGGCTTTTGAGAAATCAGTCATCACTAATATGATACTGATATAGCTGTCTAAAAGTTACCTACGATGTTGTCAGTTAGATGGAGCAAAGCTGAGGTAGTGCTATATCCCGTACGAAATCCATGATTATGAGTGAGTGTTTGGATTTTTGACTTTGTCTAAGGGGATGATAATAGCTTCCTTCCAAGCTTCAGGAAAAGTCCCGGTCTCAACGCATATATTAAGAATATGTGTTAAATGCAATAAAATTTCAGGTAAGCAGTAACCTAGCATGTTCAAGTTAATTTCATCACTCACTGTAGCAGGTGACTTGATAGATCTAATTATGTCCAAAATTTCTTCAGCGGTCATCATTCTAAATGTAAATAGAGTTACATCTTGTCTGTAAAAGCTGTTCTCATAAAACTCTACTGTACTGTCAATCAAACGGAAATTGATATTAAGATTTTGGTAATTTAACATGAAGTGGTTATTGACTTCTTTAGGGTCTAATAGATCATAGGGTATTTCAATGTGTTTCTGGCGACAAATATTCATCACTCTCAACTGAGCCCAAGCTTTTCTAGAATTGAGACTATCAAAGCGAGATAAAATTGCTTTTTTCTCACGCCGGATTAAAGCAAGTGAATAATTTCTTAACTCTTCATACGCTGTCCAATTTTCATATGATGGATTGTGACAAAATTTAATTAAAGCCTCATCTCTGACCTTGACAATGACCTCAAGTGCAAAAGTTAACCATGGAGCAGCTTTTTTGTTGACACGAGTCGTCCGAATAGGAGCATGAAAGTTAAAAAGCTCAATAAGCACCCCAGAAACGATTAGAATTTTGGAGTTAATATCAGTAATATAGAGCATTTCTTCTAAGCCAGCTGCACCCAAATCCTAGTTGAATTTGATTACATCAATGTTCTTAAAATCCCTATAAGTTATGAATTTTTCCTCCGATGAAACGGTTTTTATATTTAACTCACAAAATACTAGTTTGTGGTCAGATATCAGATCTGCATTTAAGGTACCAGAGTTGAGGACACTTTCAATATTATTAAAAAATATGACATCAATTAAAGTAGAACTAAAACGAGATCGTTGACCCGCCTGAAACCATAAAAATCAAGGCAACTGCTGAGTACATTAGTGGCATCGAACATATCAATATTCATGTCTCCAAGAAGAATAATGTCATCATATTGAGGCATAAAGAAAGAAACAAGATTGTCTGTGTGGTTTATACAATCATTGATAGAACAGTGACGAGTGTCTATAAAGTACCGCAACAAGCAGGCTTATGGAATTGGGTATACATTTACAACACAATAATTCCAGCGTTAGCCAAAAGATCGATATTAACAGTACTGAATCTTAGATTAGCCTTTGCGTATATGCCAACCCCACCACCTCTGCCAATTCTGTCTTTGCGAAAGAAATTATAATCGTGCATACTGATAAGATTATCTGGTATATTGTCTGAAAGCCAAGTTTCATACAGCGCTATAATATCAAATTGATATTTTACCAGCAAAGAAAACTCATTAAAAGAAGCTGTGAGTGATCGAACATTTAGATGGCAAATTTTTAAAACATCATTTTTATTACTTCCCATAGTCCACGCGCTGCTTCAAATTGTCAACGTAACCTTGGTAAACAAGACATCCAGGAAAGTTAGCAGAATGATCTGTGGGCAAGCTCTTTTTATGCGACTTGTTATTAAAACAGTTTGATGATATTGGAAGTCATAATTTTGTGGCGCACGGGATCTCTGACCAGATAGTCAGGACGGAGAAGTCCATATGTTCTTAAAACCTCAAGTTGCACTTTCTTTAGCGATAGCAGATCGATATTGGGTAAAAAATTAAAACTAGTACCAGAAGAATTGCATCGAAAACAATACCTTTAAAAAAATGTTAACATCGCCGCTGACATTTAGTATGAACCATTTTGAGGTAAACTTAGGTTCAAAAATATTATCAAATTCTCAAGCATATCAACTACAAAAATTCTCAAAGAGGGAAGAGAGACATTTCATTTAGATATTAAGGATTATGTAATTTGTACATATAAATATAAACTTGGCCTAGAAGTTTAATCCTCAGAAGTAGTAAATAAGTACAAAACTAAGTAATTATTTCATATATGCCTGTTTAGCTTAGTTTAACCAGAATATTGTAATAAGCGTTTTTTTCAAGATCTTGGAAACAAATCCATGGTTTCAGATCTGTCCAATGAGCAGCTAGTATAAGCAATCCATGTCGTTTGAGAACTGGATGAAGAAAATATCACGCAGACGTATCCCCATCCCATCCCATAATGTAAATAAATGTATTCAAACGATTACATGTAAATTAACTAGATCTATAGTGGTTAATCAAGAATCAATTAAAGAAACGCAAAAGGATATCCATGTACCATATTATTTTCCTAAACAAATATTTTTCTGTGACATACTTCTTAAACTTAGACTGTAACCATTGTGTATATTAATGATGTAAATATATGTATTTTATGTAGGATTTCCAATTTGTAAGTTTTATTTTGTTTCGGGTTTTGTAAATGTGCCATAATGATACCGATGTGTATTGAGTTGAACGTATTTGTAATACTACGAAAATATACACTTTAAATTTAGAGTCGTTTTATTTCCAAGTATGATTGTAAAATGTGTTTGTATTGCTCCGATTAAAATGTTATACCAGTGTGTCTCATACGACATATACGAGCCCCTTCCCACTTCAGTTGGCCCACTTCAAGATTTGTACCAAAATATGCCTTTATAAACTAAACACGACGAAACAATTTACTTTTAAAACAATTTATTTTCTCAAAAACATTTTAAATACACTCTAGTCGTAAAAAATACATATTTGAAATCACATAGACCTATAACTAATAGAACATCTGAACAAATAAACAATGTGCGAATAAATGCGCGAAGTTAACAAAGCAACAATTGAAAGATTACCATTGGGCAACATCACCTTTATTTTTTATTACGGCTGAAATTCTCTGGGGCATAGTGTTAACCAAGTTTTGGCAAAAATTTGTTGTAAAACAATCCCATATTTCTTGAAGCTTTTGTCTCAGTTCGGTGATTATACGAGCAGGATGTTGTCGTAGAACCTTTTTCATCTCGTGCGACAAAGTTTCAATAGGTGACAGATCTGGGCTGCTTGAAACCCATTTCAAAAGTGGCACATCATTTTCTTGCATCCATTTTATAGCCTTTTTTGAGGTATGGCACGCTGCACCATCTTGCTGAAACACAAAATCTTGGCCGGATGTCAAACATTCTTCCATCACTGGTAAAAGCGATTCTTCTAAAATTGCCAAATATTTGTTTGTATCCACATTTCCATCAATAAAATGAAGTTTTCCTACTCCTTTTGATGACATACTGCCCCAGACCATAATGGATGCTGAAAGTTTCAGTTTTCTCTTCAGACAGTCAACATGGAATGCTTCATTTTTTTTGCGAATAACTCTACTGCGACTGTCACCAACACAAACTTCGAATCGGGCCTCATCACTCCATTGTATTGCACACCATTGTTGAGGTGTCCATTGTCTATGTTCTTTAGCCCATCTGAGCCGATTTTTCTTTTGCAGTGGAGTTAATAGTGGCTTTTCTTTGGCCTATAAACAATTTGTGCAACTTTAGGGTTTTTACTTCACTTTTTTTCATAAGAAAACTTACCTTGCAAGTGCTAAATCCCAGTTTGTGGGCCTCTCTATGAGTTGTGGACCTCGAAATTCTCCATCCAACAGCGTCACTCCACAGATTACTTAATTGTGAATAAACGTATTCTGACAGCTGTGATTAATAAAAACAATTGTCATGGCTTTTATTTTTCACAGCCACCTATGCGTTATAGACTTATTTTGCATTGAAATGAAAATAGGTTGATATGCAACATGTGTTATTTTTTTGCTACAAATTTGATTAGGGAGTGATAAAGTTGGTGTTTTCTACTATATATGATCAAAATATTCATTGTTAGTATTTTAAACCTATAACACCCTGCTACGTTTTTATTATTTGTGTTTGATAAGAAAAAAATTAAGATTTCAATAGTTGGGACAACTG